CATGGGGTACGGGGTGTGGGTGGCAGGTTACAGGGTCTCCTGGGCGCTGCTCCTCACCGTGGGCATGGGGTACGGGGTATGGGTGGCAGGTTACAGGGTCTCCTGGGCGCTGCTCCTCGCCGTATTGGGTAGGGGGTGTGGGTGGCAGGTTACAGGGTCTCCTGGGCGCTGCTCCTCGCCGTGGGCATGGGGTACGGGGTGTGGATGGCAGATTGGACACAGCCTGGGGGGACCCCGGGAGCCAGATGCACCCTCAGCCCCTGCTCTTCCTCAGGCCCCAGGCTTCAAAGAGCTTTACTGATACTGCTTTTGGGGAAAGTCTCAACCCATTAAGTCATGAGGCTGGAATGTGGAGCAGCTTCCTGGGCTCAATAGGGTGGCGTGCTGTGGCCACGGAGCCTCACCCAGCAAGTCCCTTCGCCACGGTCACGGCCACTCATACCTTTGGCCTCTGCAGCCTGCCCTGCCCCACCCTGCCCTGTCCGCCTCTGCAGGATATGCAGGGCCTCAGCATTCTGCCCTGTGCAGGTGGCAGTAGGACCCCTCAGGAGAAAATGCCACCTCATCTTCCCACTGCAGGGGCCCCTCCCCTCCCGCACACCCCGAGTCCCACACCTCCCCGTCCGTCACTCCATGCTGTGTCCCCGCTCACACCGAGCCACGTGTCCCGGTGGGTGGAGGTGGCGCCCTCCTCGCAGTCCTGGTGGCAGCCCCTGGGAGCCCTCCTGGCAGCTCCTCAGGCCCAGACAGCACCCACGGGCTCCAGTTCCTCACACCAACAGCCAGTCCAGGCTCACCCTGGGTGTCTTACCCCAGGCAGGCCTGGCACCACCCATTTCCCCAAAGAGCCCTGTTCCTCTCACTGGGGGTCACGGTTACTTAGAAGCTAAGATTCTGGGTTACGTGTTTTATTTTTTTTTTGAGGTGGAGTCTCAGACTCCATCATCTCCCAGGCTGGCGTGCAGTGGTGCAATCACGGCTCACTGTAGCCTCCACCTCCCAGGGTCAAGCGATTCTCCTGCCGCAGCCTCCCAAGTAGCTGGGATTACAGGCACCTGCCAGCACATCTGGCTCATGTTTGTATTTTTAGTAGAGATGCGTTTCATGTTGGTCCAGCTGGTCTCAAACTCCTCCCGACCTCAAGTGAACTGCCCACCCCGGCCTCCCTCCCAAAGTGCTGGGATTACAGGCGTGAGCCACCACGCCTGGCCCCAGGTCACTTTAAAGAGCTTTACTGGGCCAGGCCAATGGCTGACACCTGTAACGCCCACACTTCAGGAGGCCAAGACCAAGAGCACCAGCCTGGGCAACGTGGCAAGAGTGAAACAACTTAGGCAGAGAGCAGCTCATGCCAAGTGGCATGGTGCACCCAATACCAGCACGCTCACAGGGACCCCAGGAAGGACGGGAGCCCGATACCAGCACCCTCACAGGGACCCCAGGAAGGACAAGAGCCCCTCCTGCCAAGAAAGTGTTTTAATGAATATAAAGTGTCCAAAATATACTAGCAGAAATGAGCTGATCTGAGCGTTTCTCTTCAAATCCAGGATACGCAGGGTGAGAGCCCAGGGGTGCCTTGAGGCGGGTTGTCCAGGGAGAGCAGGTCTCAGGAGCCCGGCGGGGAGGAAGCGGCTTAGGAGATGATCCTCAGGGACGGCTTCTCCTTCTCCAGGGCCTGCAGCTGGTTGTCCATCTCCAAAGACCAGTAGATGTCGTACAGGCTGCACGGGCCAGAAGGAAGGCATAAGAAGGTGTCCTTGCCCGGCCCTGCCCACACCTGCCTGGCCCCACCCACCCCCCAGACACGCCCACACCCCATCCGGCCCCCACCCACACAGCCCAGACAAGCCCACACCCGGCCCCCCCAACATGCCCACACACCCAGCCCCACCCACACCCCATCCGGCCCCCACCCCCACACCCCAGACAAGCCCACACCCGGCCCCCCCGACATGCCCACACACCCAGCCCCGCCCACACCCCATCCGGCCCCCACCCACACAGCCCAGACACGCCCACACCCCACCCGGCCCCACCCACACGCATGCACGTACACCAGCTGCTCCAGGAGGCAGGCCGGCTGCCGCACGCTCCCCATCAAGGCCAGGATGCCCTCGTCCCCCAAGCAGTTGTTGCTGAGGTCCAGCTCCCGCAGGCTGTGGTTGGCCAACAGGGTTGCGGCCAGGCTGCTGCAGCTGCTGTCACTCACGTCACAGTCCCCCAGCCTGGGTGGAGCGGGATGGGGATCAGGTGTGTGGGTAACCCCCCATACAGGCACCAAGGAACGAGAGCTAAGCAGAGCTCTGACAGTTAGGGCTTGAGGAATATCTCACTTTACAGCTTTACTACTCAGCTATTTCCTTTTATTTAATCCTTTATACAATCCTGTATTAGTTTATAGAAATAGGGCTTGAAGGATCCCTTTATATAATCCTCTATTTATAATCATATAATAGTTGATAGTATGAGTGCCTAAAGAATATTTTCCTACATATATACCTACAATTATATCTTAGTTCATAATCGGAGGAATGCCTAGAGCAGACACAGGGCAGAGCATGATTTAAGGGAAAACAGTTACACCAGGACAAGAACCCACGGCCCAGGCGGCAGCGTTCAGTATCGTAAAGATACCCGCTGCATGGCAGGCTTGGGGCGAGGGCCACTCCTCCTGATAAAGGAGTTGTAGGACCTTGCTCCAGTTCTGTGGAAGGTGCCCTCAGAACGGCAATCCACCTTGGTGACTGTGAACTTTATCAGCTCTTGCTTCTGTGCTGCTCGAAAAGCATCTTCCCATAGAACCCACTGGAAGCTGCCAGAAGGTGGCGGTAACCCTGACAGCTCTGTCACTGCTGTGTGACTTAAAGCATCCTCCTATAAATCTTCTTAGAAGTAGTTTCCCGTAGATAGAAGTATCGCACACTGCACCCTCTTCACTGCGCACGGCCCACCTCCATGCCTCGGTGACCTAATGGGGGTGGACCCCTCACTGCACACGGCCCTTGCCTTCGTGGGAATGGGCCCCTTGCTGTGCACTGTCCACCTCCTGGCCTAGGTGACCTAATGGGGGTGGACTCCTTGTTTTATTGCTCACGGCCCTATCACCATCCTTAAAGATGACTTCACTCACTGCCCTGCCCCCTAACCTGTACACAATAAATACTCACGCTTCTGGACATTCGGGGCCTCGCCTAACTCCGCTCATAGGTGGCGTGGCCCCCGAGCCCAGCTGTGGTTTCCTTGTACTTCTGTGTCCTGTCTCTTTATTTCTCTGACCCTGCGCCTCAGCACAGCATAAGGCTCACCCCACGACCCTGTGGGGCCCTCAGCCCTACAAGGGTGCAGGCATGCCTGCCACTCCACTGACCGACTGGGCGTCCTGGTCCTGGGGGCACGGGAGAGGCCCACGCTGCAAAGCCCAAGCTCCGACGCATACATATTCTCGGCTGCTCAGGACCCTCGGGTGGGGCCGTTCCCCAAGGCTCGGCCTTGGCAGCTTGTCTCAGGGTCCCTCTGTGGCCCTGGGCGGGTGTCCGCCACAGACAAGGCAGGCACACACAGCCCCTCAGCAGGGCACAGCAGACTGACTCCCTGAGCAGCTCCCTCCTACGAGGGGGAGAAAGGACCAAAGGGAGACAATGTCCACCCACAGAGCCACACCCGCCCTCTGCTCCCCGCCGCCTCAACATTGCCTGGCCCCGTGGGGCTGAGAGGAGGGGCCACAGAGACCGAGGGCAGCTGTGTGGGGAAACGAGGGACGGTGTGGACGGGCCTGAGGAAGGCACAGTGGACAACGGACTTCAGGCTTCCAAGAGAGACTGGGTTACAGGCCAGACAAAGGACGGTGGAGAAAACCCGTCACTCACTCCCCAGGGTGCAGCCGGCAGGACCCCCACCCCGGCGGTGGCTCAGGCAGACAGGCCCGCAGTGACCACGACCCAGGGCTCCTTGCCCCACCTGGAAGGCCCACAGGGTCCCGGCAGCCAGGATGGCGTCCCGAGACAGAACTAGAAATCCGTCAGGAGGAAGCCCCCGGGAAACGCCACAACTCGGCCTGCCCAGCCCCCTGCCCAGGGCTCCCAGGCCTCACTCTGCACTTGGTGCCCAGCCCAGGATGACCAGCCACCCATGGAAAGCCCCGGCAAGAGGCACAGGTGAAGCAGCACACAAAAGACAAAACACTGATGGTGGAAATTCAGTAGACTGCTTGGCGAACGAGAACATCTCCCAGAAATAAGAACAAAACCTCGAAGAGACAGAACATTTGGAGAACACAATTAGCAGGCCAGTCCAGGGGACCTCATGACAGGCTCATGGGCACACCAGAAAGAAAGGGGCCGGGCGCGGTGGCTCACACCTGTAATCCCTGCA